AGCCATCGACTCCACACATACGATTTGTATCGTTTCTTTGTCTCAATTCATTTTAACACTTTCTTATTCTCTGGGTCTCCTATTGCTCAGGTGTAACATAAATCAAATGCAAATTTCCACATTTTTGGCACTGGTTGTGTGGATTTATGTGAGTTTTTGGGGGTTTTAGGCAGAAAAAATGTCGAAAATCATGAAAAATAGGTCCTAAACTCCAAAAAATGATTAAAACACTCTTAAACAAAGAAATCAAGAAATTCTCAATAGAGCGCATTTTCATATATCCCTCAATGTTGGTCCAAAATTGATGAAAATTATACAAAAACGCTTGAAATTCAATTTCTCAAATTTTGATATACTTTTTCATAATTTGGACAAAGCATGAAGAAAAAATGCAAATGCGCTCCAATGAGAATTTTCAAAAAAGTTCAAAAAATCGATATTTTCTTGGAAATTTTTGATGTTCACTAGGTTCGGAGCGTTTTGAGATGTTCATTCCATGAATTGTCAATGGAGCGCATTTGGAAACCTTGAATTAAAAAAAAATAATGTTTGCAGACCGTTCCCTACAGTGCGCTTCTTTTTCCGGTGATTCTGATCTTCAGAATCCGTGCGACAAAAGTTTTGAGGACTCGAAAGATTCAAGATATCACGACCATCCAAACGGACCATATCGAACAGATTCAGAATATTTGGAACACTTCGAATTTTTGAAAAAATTACAAAAAATGTTGTGCCAAAAAATTTTTTGAGCAATCTAGATCCATCTAGAAGCCTCTAGAATCACATTTCAACTTTTTTTCGAAAACTACTTTTCGAAGATTCATAACCAAGACAGTACAAAAAACAGGATATTTGCTATACTACAGAAGTTTATTGATAATACTGAACAATGTTTTTTGAATCTTGTGAGGCATAACCCAATCATTATGATGGTCTTGATGATCGTGATGGTTGGCGAACGCGATGAATACAGTTCTTTCTGAAAAATATGACATTTTTTACACATTTTACAAAAAGTTTTGCGTTTGTAGAACTTTTAGAAGCCGAGATACAGCATTTTTAAGTTTATAAAGCGAGAGACGCAGACAACGAGACACTCTAACCGTCTGCGTCTCTTCCAAACTTCAAAGCGTTGTATCTCGGCTTCTAGATGAGCTAGAAAGATGAAAATTGGACAGAATTAGAAGATTTGAATAGGATTTTTAGATTCTTTGAAAGTTTAAAACATTTAATTTTTTATGAGTTCTCAAAATAAAAATCATTTTCTAATTTTCAAAACTTTCCAAAAATACCAAAAATTGCAACATTTCTAGCCAGAAATCAGTCTCCTAGCTGCTCCAGAAGCCGAGATACAGTATATTGAAGTTTAGAAAGCGAGAGACGCAGACGACGAGACACTCTAACCGTCTGCGTCTCTTCCAAACTTCAAAGCGTTGTATCTCGGCTTCTAGATGAGCTAGAAACCAGGTTTTTGAACGAAATTGAAGCTTGAAGCTGGTATTTTGTAAATTTTTAAAAATCAAAAATCAAAAAAATTAAACAATTAAAATTTATTTTTGAATTTAACAAATCCCAAAAAAACTTTGTTTTCCAGATTTTTGCCTTCAATTCCATTCAAAAACGTGATCTCTAGCTCATCTATAACTCGAGATACAGCTCTTTGAAGTTTTGGAGAGACGCAGACAGGTAGAGTGTCTCGTTGTCTGCGTCTCTAGCCTCGTAAACTATAAATTGGTGTAACTCGGCTTCTAGATGAGCTAGAAAAATAAAAATTGGACAGAAATGTGTGAAAATAAGCACAACTTTATAAAATCTCTGAATTTTCGAAAAAAAAAATAATTTTTTCTATAAAAAGTTTTCAAATGCAAACGTTTAGGTGGGCCTAGGTGTGCTAGAAAGTTGGTTTTTGTGCTAAATTTGAATTGACACTCCTATACTAACCGTTGCATCCAAGTGGGTATAGAAGAATACTTCCAAAGTGATGGAAATTCAAAAATAAAAACATGAACAATCCGACTTCCATGCAGAAGGTGATCATTTGAGGATCGGCATTTTTTCCTTATCTGAAAATTTAGAACATTTTACATATTTTACAAAAAAAATCTCGCGTTTCTACACCGCCTGCGAGCCAAGATATAGCGATATGAAGTTCAGAAGGTGAGAGACGCAGACAATGAGACACTCTAACTGTCTGCGTCTCTTCTAAACTTCAAATGGCTGTATCTCGGGTTATAGATGAGCTAAAAACCTGGTTTGTGAACAAAATTGAACCTTTCATGATTTTTGATAATTCCAAGAAGTTCTTCAAACGGCTACATCTCAGCTCCTAGAAAAGCTAGAAAATTGAAAATTTCACAAAAATCAATAAATTTGACACACATTCTCTGAGATTTTCGAGAAATACACTGTACAAAAAAAAAGTCAAACTGTTCGAACTGAGTTGGTATTGCATACAGTTATTACACTTGAACTTCTAAGAATTTTTCGGATACTTTTGATTGGCTCCGCCCACTTTGATCCAATCTGCAAAATTGGTCCACCAAAAAATACACTTTTTTCTTTTTTGTGATAGGCACGAAATCTTTGCTGGAGTAAACATACTTTGTTATTTCAAGCATTTTTCATGTTGAGACCAAAAAATAAGGGTCTTATCTTCTAATAGAAAACATATGATTTTTGAAAATTTTGTGAATTTTTTTTGATTTTTCGCTATCATATATATGTTTTTCCACTGACTGTTTTGCAGATTCGAGTTTCTCATAAGATTTTGCCTTAGAAACTTATGTCCTACCAAGTTCTTCACTGCTCTTGCATCTATGACATTAATTGGTAGCACTACTCCCTTGTCTCCTCCATATTTCTCGTCTATTCCCTTCGCCATTAAAAATTATGATTGGCCTGAGGGGAGTCGGATGGTTCAAAACGTTCAATATCAAACGCCGCCGCGAGGTTGAAATTCTTCACCATGTCTACGATTCCTGCTTTGTTCAGCCAATTCAAACTTTAACATCGTAGTCAGCAAGAGTGGTACAACTTTCTTTCTCAGATTCCCCTGCTCTCCGGCTTTCTTGGTGTCTCTCTTCTTTCCCTTCTTCACTGATTGTTCCGTCATCTCTTGTACGGTTTCCGTTGTTCATTTGTCGCGAACGGTTTCAAGAAACTTCTTGAAGACTTCTTTCATGGCTTTGTGGTGTGGATCTTCAGAGAACGACTCATCTCTTTGGGAACACTCAGTATCCTGAAAATACAGAATTAAAAATTGAGAGTTTTTTGAGAGCTGAAAATCCAATTCAAATCCTCCATTTCTGTCCAAAAACCACGTCTCTAGCTCATCTAGGAGCCGAGATACGGCGCTTTGAAGTTTTGAAGAGACACAGGAAGCTAGAGTGTCTCGTCGTCTGCAACTCTTACCTCGAAAACTTCGAATCGCTGTAACTTGGCTTCCAGACTTTTCAGAAAAATGAGTTTTAACTTTTGTTGAAAATTTAAAGTACTGCGAAATGTGCTAAAAAAAACCAACCAGGGTTTGCAAGGAATTGGTATGCATGAAGTTGGGAGACACAGGGAACTCGGCAAAAAGTTCTTGCATAAATCGGATCAGCTTGTTTTTGAAAGTCTCTGCGTGCCCAGATGACAGTCCAATTTAGGTCTAAACTGCACATCCATTCGATATTGCAATTCTTCTGGTGACTTCAGTCTTTTGCGAATAATCAGAAGAATCAAAAAGAAGGGGAAGGATCCCAATCGGGGTTCCATGGGTAGAGAATAGTCAGAAGAATTAAGAAGTAGGATCCCAACCGGGGTTCCATTGAAGTGCTCTCGTTTAGAATTGATCGGGAATCATCTAGAATCATCCCAATCGATTCACTGCCAGAACTACATCAGAATGAATGTGGTTGTCTGGCCAATGCGCCCTTTTATACAGGGTTGGGGTCAGGTGGGCGTGGTCACATGGCTGATGACCAGCGTGCAGATGTCATTTGCCAGGTGAATGACATTTGAAAATGGAAAGGGCACCCTGGGAAGAATTAATGACCATGAAAAGGTACTTGAATGTGGTTTTAGGGTCCTTGAAAGACAATGAAAAGGTTAATATCTAAAAATGGATATAGCCAAGGTGCTAATGATTAAATTCCATGGTACAAGACCGTCTGGGAAAGTGAGAGACGATAATCACAAATTTGACTTGAGGCTATAGATGAATGACTTTGACTTGACCAATTTTCTGATTCATTTTGAATTTAAAAATATCAAAACAATGTCCGGAGTTTTTGGAATTATCAACAATCATGAAAGCTTCAATTTCGTCCAGAAACCATGTTTCTAGCTCATCTAGAACCCGAGATACAGCCATTTGAAGTTTTGAAGACAGTAAGAGTGTCTCGTCGTCTGCGTCTCTAGCCTCGTAAACTATAAATTGGTGTGACTCGGCTTCTAGATGAGCTAGAAAAATAAAAATTGGACAGAAATGTGTAAAAATAAGCAGAATTTTATAAAATCTCTGAATTTTCGAAAAAAAAAAATAATTGACCTTAAAGTTGTCGACCTTAAAGTTGTTTTTTTGGGATTAAACAGCTTCAAAATAATGTCCCGAGTGTTTTGGATTTATCAGAAATCGTGAATGCTTTAATTTCGTCCTAAAACCAGGTTTCTAGCTCATCTACAACCCGAGATACAGCCATTTGAAGTTTTGAAGAGACGCAGTCAGTTAGAGTGTCTCGTCGTCTGCGTCTCTTGCTTCTTGATCTTCAAATGACTGTAACTCGGCTTCTAGATGAGCTAAAAGGATGAAATTTGAACGGAAATGTGTGAAAATGAGTAGACTTCAATAAAATTTGAAAAATAGAATAAATTATTTAAATTTTTGAAAAAAAATGTTTTCCATAACAAGTTTTCAAATGGAATAGTTGGTGGGCCTGAAAATTTCATACATTTCTCCAGAAAAACGAACATTCTAGGTCTTCTAGAAGCCGAGATGTAGCTATTTGAAGTTTTCGAGGTGAGAGACGCAAACAACGAGATACTCTGACTGTCTGCGTCTCTTCTAAAATTTCAAATGACTGTATCTCGGGTTTTAGAAGAGCTAGAAGCCTGCTTTTTGGACCAAAATGAACCTTGAAATGTGTATTTTATGATTTTTTGCAGATGTTTCAGAAAAGTGTTTTATAATGTTTGTTGAAGTATTGGGGCGCTACGAAATGTCTCGTTGTCTGCGTCTCTAGACTCCTAAACTACAAATTCGTGTATCTCGGCTCCCAGCTAGAACGGCTATTAGCTAGAACGCTAGTTGTTGGTGGTACAAAATCCTTTATTCAGGGCTGCAAAATAACTGAAAAGATCCGTATTTCGTATGCCCGAACTGTGGTTTTTGGCACTTAAAGTTCTTTGTTCCCATATTTCTATAAAATTTTTCATTTTTTTTCTGGAAATCAATTGATGGGAACTTGAAAATTTTTTTGATGGAAATCATTTTTCAAAACATTTAGAAAATTTTATTTTCTCAGATTTCCTCTTTTTTCAAAGATTTCCTCTTTTTTCTTTTTTTTTTATTTTCTCTTTTTTCAAAGTCTCAAGCTTCATCTCGGCTTCTAGAAGACATAGAGTGTTTGTTTTTTTGGGGAACTGTATAAAAGTTTTAGGCCCACCTAAACGTTTGCATTGGAAAACTTTTTATGGAAAAAATTATTTTTTTTTTCGAAAATTCAGAGATTTTATAAAATTCTGCTTATTTTTACACATTTCTGTCCAATTTTTATTTTTCTAGCTCATCTAGAAGCCGAGTTACACCAATTTATAGTTTACGAGGCTAGAGACGCAGACGACGAGACACTCTTACTGTCTTCAAAACTTCAAATGGCTGTATCTCGGGTTCTAGATGAGCTAGAAACATGGTTTCTGGACGAAATTGAAGCTTTCATGATTGTTGATAATTCCAAAAACTCCGGACATTGTTTTGATATTTTTAAATTCAAAATGAATCAGAAAATTGGTCAAGTCAAAGTCATTCATCTATAGCCTCAAGTCAAATTTGTGATTATCGTCTCTCACTTTCCCAGACGGTCTTGTACCATGGAATTTAATCATTAGCACCTTGGCTATATCCATTTTTAGATATTAACCTTTTGCATTGTCTTTCAANGGACCCTAAAACCACATTCAAGTACCTTTTCATGGTCATTAATTCTTCCGCAGGGTGCCCTTTCCATTTTCAAATGTCATTCACCTGGCAAATGACATCTGCACGCTGGTCATCAGCCATGTGA